GGAGAAGTTGTTGGCTTAGCAAAGCAAATTTTCACTGACATTTGAGGAATACACAGTATCAATTAAAGCAGAGCTAATTATTGCTACTATTATTTGCATTGCAGTAGTTCCCAGAGGCTTTTAACAGGATTATAGCCTTCTGGCATGAGGAGTTCTTAGGAACACGAGCTCCTATCTGGAAGTTCGTACACGACTGCTGACATTTGGTACCTGTGCACAATGTTCAGTGGGGCTCCACAGGGCACTGTGCTTTGCTCACAGGTGTGGGTCACAGGAATCTGAGCCACAGGAGCTCCTTGTGGTGCCCTGAGGTTTGCCTAGAGCCATCACGTGTCCTTCTGCTCTTTTACAGCCTGGCCTGTGTCCAGAGAAAGCAAGCTCTTCCCAAAGCTCAGCACTTAGGCAAGGCGAACAGTGCTACACATTGGCTCCTTGTCAGGAAGTTTGGGAAACACTCCTAACCTTTATTTATTCTGATGTGTTTATCATGTGGTGCCACTCCCTTTACCTAAGAATGGGGGATCTTAGACATTATCCACTACATTCAGTCATTCTAAAAAGGAAGGACTGCCTTAACTTTGTCAACTTCACCCTGATTCATGTGCTGTCTCTGACACCAGATGGGATCCTGGTGAAATGAAGCAAAGCTTAGTAAGATTTCCAGCATCCAGACTGAAAAAAAACCCTAGAAATAAAACACTGAGAAACATTTAACACTTGGTTTTCCTTGATGCTTCTTGATTTCTTTTCGCTAGATTCCTAAAATATATTGCAAACACTAGGGTCCAGAGCATTACCCCGGCTTCTGAGTCTCTGTTCAGAACCCAAAGTACAGCCCAAACCTCCCTGCAGCCAGTTGGAGCTGCTAAAAATGTATATATTTTACACTACAACAAGGTATGTGTTCTGTTGAGATTTTGATCTTTGGTGGTTGACCAGCTTTCTAGGGACTCCACGTGTGACACATCATAACACACTTGACACGTTGCTGGCTCAGGCCATTTCTCAGCCCGCAAGCTCTCCTGTTCTCCCCCCTCGCAGCTGCTTAAGGGGTCCCAGGGCCACATTGCTCTGAAGAAACTACAGCTGAAATAAGATGCATCAAGTGTATTGCTGACTACAAGGCAGATAAGCTGCAACAAGGGGATAAATATGCAACAAGAATGCAGGAGGAAACAGAAAAATTACAGTGAAACCAAAATTGGATACACATGAACACTGCCCACAGCTCTGAAACCCCAGTTAGTCATGGGGCTGTAACACACTCAGAAATGTTTCTGCTCAAGGTTTATCACCAGTGTTTTTCATATACTTTGTTTTAATCCTCATACTGCTCTCTTCCCTTAAGTAAGACATTTATTAGTTTTTAAGGTTTTGCAGTTTCCTAATCTGCTTCTGCCCTTCCAGCGACTGGCTCACGGGGAAAGCACCTTTCACCTGTGTCTCTCTTCCAAGAGGTGCTGCTGCCACCTGTGATTGCTGTCACTGCCAACAGGCCATAGATAAAGCCCAGTGACACCTACAAGAGGGCAAATTTGCTTTTGCACCCCTCATTTGTACATTTTAAATCCAGAATTTCCTGTCAGGCGCGACAGAACATTTGCTGCATCACAGGATGTTGCTGAAATAACCCAAGAGCTGTTAAGTGTTTGGTTTGGAGGACTTCACCCAAAGACAGGTTTAACTTTGGATGGAAGGTGTCAGGTGTCACTGAGAGGTTCAGCACGAGGAGGTTATGAGCCAAACCCAGACTGGATCACCCATCTGGGCCAGCCTGCCGTGCTGTGAAAACTCAGTCTGGTTTTGCCAGACTAGAAAGCAAACACACAAAGAGGTAACTGTGGATCAAAGTAAATAAAAAGTAAGTAAAAAGTATATTTTGTCTATGGAATTAGGAACCATTTGCTGTTGATAACACTGTTCTAAACACCCTCATATTAATTCCACGTGTTTCATGGAATTAAACTTGGAAGGTTGCTGTACTGGATTTCTGACTGATTTTTAACCATTCTAGAGTGCAAAAATAAATAATGATTTAAGTACAAAAATATCTTTAAAAATATTATGTCTGCTCCAGAAATAAGTTACAAATTATTTTGAAAAGTAAATGTTAACATCCAAACCCACTGTAAATAAAACTGATAATGACTATTATTGAGGAAATAGGTTAATGTAGAGAAGTTAGGACACAACAATTTTTACTGAAAAGTTTAAAAGAAGAAATCTGAGGCAGGAAATGCAAAGCAACCTGCTCCAGTAATGCAGTGAATGCAGAACCAGAATTATTGGATCTTGAGTTTTCTCTCTGTCATTTACTTCATCCCCTTATAAGAAAATCTGTTGCATTCCTGACTGCAACAGGATTTGCTTGAAAGATGCACAGGCAAATATGTTATTTATGCAGAACTTCCAAAAGTATTTTTAAACAGATGGTGATTAATTCACATGCAATAATTTTAATTCATGGGTTCCAGAAGCTGTATGTTAACTTACTGAAAAGACATGAGTACATTTGCATTTTATAGCATGGCATAGGTAGTACAGGGAAAAAGTTGGAGCTTTTCATACAGAATCCAGAGCAAGTATAGTTCATGGAATTTGAAAATTCATAGGAAGTTCTGAGTGAAGGTGAGTAGAGTCACCACACCTTTCTCTGTCATTATCATTTAGGTCCCTGTTTCACACCTGCTGAAGTCTGGACACCTGGGAATGGCCTCTTTTTTTGTACCAGAGCTGTGCAAAGTGGCTAAAGTGTTTGTATATTAACAAAATAATAGTTAACTGTCTTGTTATTCTTTAACATTGGAGTGGTCTGTTAAGAAAATGGTAAATTGGTTTCTATATAGACTGTCAGTCAAAAAAATTTGCTATTAAAATGGGCAAAAATATAGAACATAAAATATCCATAAAATGCTCTCTTCTACATATCTGAATTCCACAAAGCTGCCCATTGTGAACACTGTTTATGTTTAACAATTTCCCAGCATCAAACAAAAGGGATACAGAGATTTTTGACAAGAGAGCTGTGAATTGTAACAGGCTGCAGCTGAGCCTTGCCCCACACAGCCTTTAAAGGGTCCAGGAAACTCCTTCCCTTGCCAGGAAACCCTTTTGTATTGCAAACCAGCTTCAGGAAAGAAAAATAATACCAAGAAGCAATCTGTGAACTACTGGCCCCCCACTGAAATCCTTGTGGGTTTTTACCACTGGTAATTGTTGTATTCACTTATCACCCCCATGTCAGGCAGTCAGAGCTGGACTCATGAACTACACACTAAAATATCAGCAAGCATCACCTACTGATGGCCTGTTTCCCACATTAAAGACAGAATTTGGCTGTGAGTTTGTAGGAATACATAAAGAATAAACCTCTAGCTATATGGTTGTGAAGAAAACTTGAAAAATGAGATCAAATGCGATGTAGAGACAAGTCTGCAGGGAGCACAGAACAAAGTGACATGAGAACTTCCCTATTCTCATAGCGAGGGTTTAATCAGATAACGCTGATAATTTAAATACTAACATTGTTAATTATTTCCATGAGGACTTGTCCACCTGGGAAAGTTTTGCCGTTTACTTGAAGTAGTCTTGTTATAGTAGGCTCCATTAAATTGTTTTAGGTCAGATTTGGTTTCCTTACAAGTAGTATATAACCTAGAAGTTTGTTTTATATCATGGCATAATTTTATATCGCATTTAACCTGGCCTGTGCAGAAGTCTGGACTTCCCTGTTAAAACTTGGAGAAGTCAGGAAGGAAAGTTGAAAGGAAAACTTTTTGGTAATTACTTTTCTGATCAGTGATCCAAACTGATATACTCAGCAGCCACACTGGGTCCTCTGAAAATGAGAGGGGAGCAAGCAGCCAAGCAGGCAGGAGGGCAGTGCTTGGAGTGCCAGCAGGAAGGGATTCACAGCTCGCAGAGAACTAAACTGAGCGTGTTGTAACTGAACCACAAAGGGTGAACTCAGGTGAGGTTTGAGTGGGGAAGCAAGAACCACGGAATCTGAACTTCTTCAACTAATAAAACTGAACCACAAAGGGTGAACTCAGGTGAGGTTTGATGGGGAAGCAAGAACCACATAATCTGAACTTCTTCAACTAATAGATGGGTTAACTTCCCTGCATGCTCAAGCCTTGAAAGATGGGAGACCACAGATCTACCAAGCACACCTTGACCCATCCCCTCACGGTGTATTTAACTCATTAACTCATGAGGATTTTTGTCACCCAGGAGGCAGCTGAACTCGGTGGTTCCGGCTGCTCCTGTGACTCCTGAAGCCTCAATAAGCCCCGTGTGTGCAGCCCTGGGACCCTGCACTCAGGAAGGACATTGGACCTGCTGGAGCAGCTCCACAGAAGGGAAATGGAGCTGGGGCAGGGTCTGGAGCACCAGAGTGATGAGGAGCAGCTGAGGGAGCTGGGGGTGTTCAGCCTGCAGAGAAGGAGACTCAGGGGGACCTTATCACTCTTTACAACCACCTGAAAGGAGGCTGTGCTCAGCGGAGACTCATCTCATTTCTAAAGCAATCTGCGATAGGACAAGAGAAGATAGTCTTGAGCTGCACCAGGGGAAGCTTAGGTTGGACAAAATGCACAATTAAGAGACGGTGCAGGAGTCACCGTTCCTGGAAGCGTTTAAGGGAATACTGGACGTGGCACTCAGTGCCGGGGTGTAATTGCTATGCTGCTGGTCCGTCATGAGCTGCCCTCGATGATCTCAGAGGTCTTTCTCAACCTGAGACCGGGATTCAGTGTGGGCCGCGCATTTCAGAGGTGGTACGAGGAGTCACCCACGTCCCCATGAGACACGTACACGCCGCGATCAGAGAATCGCTCCCACTCCCCGTTTGTGCAGGCCAGGGGAATCTGCCCCGCCCGAGCGGCTCAGGCGGGACAGCGCACCCTGACCGCGCCCCGCCCCGGCCCGGCCGCCATTCCGCCCTCACGCCGCCCCCGCGCACGCGNNCACGCGCGGGGGGCGCTGGCGTGACCAACCAGCGGCGCGCACCGCCCGCCCGCCCCCGCCGCGGAGGAGGGCCCGAGGTCCGCCGCCGTCCCAGGATGCAGCGCGGCGGCGACGGCGCTGGCGGCCGCCATGTCGTGCTAGTTTGTTGTTCTCCGGCGGCGGGAGCGGGGCCCGGCGGGCGCTGAATCCGAGCCCTTCCCGGCCCGTCGCCCGTGTCCTTCGCCGCGGCACCGGCAGCCGCCGCTCCGGCGGGCGGCACCGCGGCGCTGCCGCGACCCGCCGCCGCCTGGGCCGGGCGAAGAACCATGGCTGCCGCGCTGGGAGGCGCGTGGCCGGGGCTGGGGGCGCGGAGCGGGAGCGGCCCTGGCGCCGCGGGTTCCCGGGAGCGCCGCTCCCGGGGCGGGGGTCGGCGTCGTGCGGCGATGGGAGGAGCTGCGGCCGCTCGGCGGGGCAGGGCCCGCAGGGACAGCGGCCTCGCCGCGGGTGCGGGGCCGTCGGGGGACGTGGGTGTGTGTGTTATTGAAAGACATTCACAGAATCGCAGGATCGCTTAGGTTGGAAAACATTTCTGAGGCCATCCAGTCCAACCTATGACCGATACCACCGTATCAGCTACACCACGGTGCTGAGTGCCACGTCCAGTCTTTCTCTAAACACCTCTAGGGATGATTGGTATTTTTTTCACACAGTTTTTACTGTGTGTGGCTTGATTAACACGTCTTTAATATGCCGTGTAGCTATAATTTATTTCGTAGATTACCCAGAAGTAGAGGATCTCTCTTGAAAACTGTGAAATAAATTCTGTGTTCGATTCCAAGACTCTCCACTGTGCTTCTGCATGAATACCTCTACACGCAGCATTTTAATAGACAGCTCTGTGGTTCTGATTAAGCAAGCTTTAAAATGAGAATATTTGGTTGGGTGATTAAAAGAAAGTCTTTCAGGGGTCTCTCCAGAGCCTTCAGGAGAGATACAGTTAAGAGGACTTGTGTGTTTCTGTGCTTGCTTTCATTAGGAGTAGCAGTTTTTGATAAAGACGATCAGAGAGGTCAGTTGACCCACTTGTCCTTGTCTGTACAAAAGTTTTTGGGGATTTAGTCTCTGTAAGTTGTTGTCGAGGAGGAGAGGGGTGGTTGGTTCAGTGCTCACTCAGCTGAGGCGTCTGACTGTGCTCCATGGTTGGTTTGATGAGTGACAAGGCACATAAACATAATTATTTTTTTATGCTAAGTCTTGCCATACATAAAGGTAAATGTTACAAAGAAATTCCCAAATTTAGGAGTTGAGTTTGGGAAGAAGGCTAGGAAGGACAGCGCTACTGGTAAAACAGCAAATAATTTAATACCTTGAGCATTGTAATAATAGTGTTAAATACTGCAATATTGGAGTTTCTTTTCAAAAGTCTTTGTGCTAATTTCTGTGGCTCAGGTCTGTGGTTCCACTTGTGATACGGAAGTAAGGTTGCCATTCGTGTACTAGGTGGAAGTTTTTGTGGCATTGTGAGGATAGAGTAACTTAAGGAAAATTTCAGTTTAGAAGTATTTTGGTTCTCGTGTTTAAAACTGCTTCAAGTTGAATGAACATGCTTTCATGTACTGCAGCAGACAGCCTTCAACAGAGTGGTGAAACTGCAATTTCAAGGCTGATTTTTGCTGTTGTGGAGTTCCATTTGTGTCCAAGGGTGAATTGGGATGCCTTTGTTTTAGGTGAGCACTAGCAGTTGTTTGTTCACACTGTGCTGTCAGTAAATGGTGGCCACTTAAATATGATCCCTGCCCCATGCAGACTGTGTGTGTTTAGTCTTGGTGCAACCCTTGCTGAGTGGAGGAACCCACAGGTCACACACTTATGTCCATGTGACTACTCAGGGAAAATTCCTGGTTGAGGTTGTTAAATACACTTTTAAAGCCCAGCCAAGAAAGCCTAGAACTTACAGAAATGGAATATGCAGCTGTTTTTGGAAAGGGACTGCTGTCTAAAGTCAGTGGTGGCAGTATGTGAAAGAAGCTCCAAACTAAGTGGTTTTGGTCATTTAAAATTTTAACTGTAGGAACTAATGTTTTTGGGATTTAATTTTTGAATTTTTGGGGCAAGAAAAAGACTTAAAACATAGGCATAACAACACCCAACTTTTTTCTTAAATAAAAGGCTAATGATTGGTAAAATAATACAAAATATGTATTGGGCATATAAATTTATGTTAATTTGATAACATTGTAGCATAACAGCTGACAAAATAGTTTTGGCTTTGAGGATGCAGATAAAGTTTAAGTCCTCTGTAAGGATATGTTGTAGGAGTGAGAATGAAATGTGAAATGTCTGCACTGGCTGAACATTTAAATGTATTTGGTGGAAGGAGAGTGTTGTGTCTGTTGGACAGCAAGTATGGGCTCATCAGTCATTTATAGTCTTTAAAGCTCTGGGGAAATACTGGTGGGATTCTTTAGAATAAATAATTTATAAGTACTTTTGTGACCAGATGTGTTGGTGCAGCACAGCTGTCTAAGGATGAAGGTTGAGGCTCTTTTGGTGTTGGGTTTCACAAACTAGAAAGTTTTGAAGTGATGGTCTCTGAGGTCTCTGGGAGTAATTCACAGTTGCATAATGGTTTGCAAATTTAGCTAATCAGCCTGATTCAACCTGCTTGAAGGTCTAGAATGGCTGCATGTTGAAACATGAAAAGTCGAGGTGGGTGTGCTACTGCTGAGGGACCTTGAGGGCTCATAGTTGCTCATTGATAAGGCACTGGTTCCCAAACTTTGTTCCAATTTTATATACAAAAACAGAGCCAGAGGAAGCACTGAATATTGAGTAACATCATCTTAAAGGGATTAATAATCACAAGGATCCATGTGGAGCAGCCAAGGGACAATGGCTACAGATTGCACCAGGAGAGGCTTTGCTTGCTACAAGAAAGACTCTTTTAACAGGGAGGATAATCAGTCACTGAAAAAATTTCCTCTGATGGTGGAACCTCTGTTACTGGAGACTTTGAGGATCTGTTTGGCCTGGGTGCTAGATAAATTATCTCCTCTAGGCTCCCTTTTTCATGGGAGTCCAGGTGGTGTTGGAGGGTCCATTCAAACCTGGACTGTTACATGGCTTAATGATCATATAAGGCAACAACCATTTTGTATAAATGCTGACATTTTTTTCTTGATATTTACTACAGTCAGCAGCTAGATATTAGTCTCATTTAGGGAAAGATGGTTACAGGTTAAACAACAAACCATGTTCAAAACAAAGCAAGGAGAATCTTTTCATTGTTGTACTGCAGTAAGGGAAAATTATTGTATATTTTCTTTTCAGATAAATTTACTTCTGATGAACACCAGTGGTCTGGAGGACTTTGGGTGGAGATGTCTTGGGGTTGTGAGTCATGACATGAGATAGGGAGGAGGAGGAGTTGGAGAGGGTCCCATTGACAGATGTGTTCCTTCCTGCTGGAAGTCCTGTACAAGGAGGAAGCAGAATGGCTGTTTCTTTACCTCAGAGGCTGTCAGCAGCTTCGTTTCATTTGAGCATGTGTGAGGTTTGCTCTTGCACTCTCAGCAGTGTCAGGGCTTTAAAAGCCTCTTGTGAAGCAGTTGGTAAAAAGGGGAGCAGAGCTGGTCCTGCTAGCACAGCATGTGTGGTACATTCTGTGTGTTGGGAACACTGTCCAAGGATGCAGTAGAAATTGTCCAGGGTGACAAATTCAGTTGAACTTGTGCTTCAGGCTGTTCAGCAGTGGCCTCCAGGGACTGGAAATAGGTTCTACATTTATGCCTGGGTCATGCACACATTAAAACTCCTCCAAGTCTTAGGGGTCTGAAGAGTTTACAGTTCATGAAATAAGATGCTCAGGGTGTACCAAGAAGCCCAGTGCACTTGTGTTGTACATAGTATTATACTGAGAACTAGTGCCAAAAAACAATGCTACTTCAGTGTGCTTGGGGCAGGGAGATGTCCTTTAAACACAGCAGTTTTTAATCTCTGCTTTTTTGACAAGGTCTCACTATTCTGAATGTCTTCTCTTTTCAGGTCATCTGAAATAAACATAGCCTTAGTATCAGTTGTTTTTACAAAAGCCAGGCCAAACTTTTTTGTATCAAATACTAAAACCTCAGATTTTTAGATCATGTAGAGTTTGTTGTCAGAATAATTTAAGATGGTGGCTGTCACAGGCTTGGCCAGAAAACCTCCAAGTAAGTGACATGATTCATCTTGTGTTATGTTGTGCTGTGATGCAGCCTCAGTTTTAACTATAACTTTTGTTTGCTGTGAAGATACTGGAGAGTTTCTGGAGAGCTGCAGTTTCTCATCAGTGTCCAAATCCATTTGGGAACCAAGCTCATGTGGATTTCATTTAAACTCTCAGCTTTCCTTCACTGTTCAGCATTTGTAAAACAAAGACTATGGCACTTTTGCTTTTCAAAAGCAAATATATTTTCTAGTTCAATCAGACTTTGAAAGTAATTTTTCTTTTTTTTTTTTTTTTTGTGACTTGGTTTTGGGTTTAGATGTAATTTATTAATAAAAAAAAGAAAAGGAAGAAGAGGCCCTATTTCTTTCAAGCATTGAAAATTTCAGTTCCAGACAGCATATCATAATTAGTTCTGATCTTGCATATTGCTAGTACAATATGCAAGTTTGTATGCTTTGCATACAAACTCTAAGAAAAAAGGTTTTGAGAAGATAAAACTAATTTCTCTCCTGTAAAACTTAACTTTTTTGCTTTATTTTTTTGAGGAAGCTAAACTTTGTCTGTAGAAAAAACTTGGAAACAAAACATGAAGTACACTAATCAAGAAATGTGTTAGGCAGTTGTTAGGTTGTTATACTTAGTCACTGAGTACTGAGGCTTCTGAGTAATTGTTTACCAATATCAAGACAGTCTGGTGTCTGTTCCTCAACAGATAAACTAAACTGCTTGTGTTTGAGTGGTGTATTTGTGCGTAATGTGGTAGTAAGACTGAACGTGATTTTTGTGATGGTGTAGAAAGGTTGATTATTTTTGTAGTGGGCTTCATGAAGTGTTGGGTTTGTGGCACAGACTTGGATTCAGAAATTTCTGTTGACCTTGTAGGTTTTTTCCTGCCAGATGCTGTCAGGATTTGTTACCAGAAGTTTTTGTTAAACTGATGCTAATGGTGCAGTTACATTGCCAGCCTGTGCTACAGGCACAGACATTGCTCATGAAACCTGTTATTTTGTGTTGCATAGCAATAGACACCAAAATTCTGTTCACTGTTTAGCTGTTTTTACATGGTGTACTCAGGTGCTGAAAATCAAGTTTTTGCAATTCCTATGTGTTGTGTAACCTTTAACAATGAAATATGAAGAAAAA